AAAGAAACAAATGTGTTTTTTATTGCAAAGCCAGGTGTTGTTCAAAAGAGCAGTGGATGTGATATACCTCGACTTTAGCAAGGTTTTTCACACTGTTTCCCACAACATGCTAAGGAAAGACAGACTCGATTAAAATACTGTAAAGTCCATACATAATAGGCTGGATCATCTTGCTCAACAAGTAGTCATCAATGGCCAGTGCCTAGTTGGCAGCACACTGTTTCCCACAACATGCTAAGGAAAGACAGACTCGATTAAAATACTGTAAAGTCCATACATAATAGGCTGGATCATCTTGCTCAACAAGTAGTCATCAATGGCCAGTGCCTAGTTGGCAGCTGGTATAAGTTTTTTATTGCAAAGCCAGGTGTTGGTCAGAAGAGCAGTGGATGTGATATACCTCGACTTTAGCAAGGTTTTTCACACTGTTTCCCACAACATGCTAAGGAAAGACAGACTCGATGAAAATACTGTAAAGTCCATACATAATTGGCTGGATCATCTTGCTCAACAAATAGTCATCAATGGCCAGTGCCTAGTTGGGAGCTGGTATAAGTGTGGGGGGAGTCTGCTCTGGGTCTGGTATTGTTTAGTATCTTCATTAAACATTTGGATGATGGAATTGGGTGCATGCTTAGCAAATTTGCAAACAATACTAAATGGGGTGGAGTTGCAGATACTCTGGAGGATAGGGCTAGGATCCAGAATGACCTGGATAGACTGGAGAAATGGTCTGCAGTCAATCAGGTGAGATTCAGAAAGGACAATTGCAAAGTCCTGAACTTGGAATGGAATAATTGTGTACAGAGATACAGCAAGGGAAGGACTGGCTGGGCTGCAGTACTGCAGAGAGGGATCTGGGAGTTATGGTGGAGCATAAATTGAATATGAGGCAACAGTGTGCTCTTGTTGCAAAAAAAGCCAACAGCATCACTGGGTGCATCACTTGCAAATCAAGGGAAGCAATTGTCTGCTCTGTTTAACACTGGTAGGGCCTTACCTGGAGTCCAGTTCCCAGTTTTTGGCCTCAAGAAGGACGTGGACGGTTTGGAGAAACCAGTACAGAGCAACAGCGAATAGGCACCAGGAAGGCAAGACTTATGAGGAAAGGCTGAAGCAGAAAGTCTGCTCTGTTTAACACTGGTAGAGCCTTACCTGGAGTCCAGTTCCCAGTTTTTGGCCTCAAGAAGGATGTGGGCAAGACTTATGAGGAAAGGCTGAAGCAGAACTAGGGTTACTTAGTTTGAAGAAGAGAAGACTGAGAGGTACATTTGATAAGCGTCTTTAAATACCTGATGGGAGATTATAGAGAGGCTGGAGATGGATGGAGAGGGCGGATTATAGAGGGGCTGGAGATCTTACTGTGCAGGGGCCATAAGGAAGGGTGCTGATCTCGTGACTCAAGCAGTCTTCTGTCCCATGCACAGGCTGCATTGCACAACTGGCCAGCTGCCTTGTGGGCTGGGCTGTATCTTCCTCCTGCCCATCACCATACAGCTGCTGCCATTGCGGGACTAAAGGGCTACCCCAGTGCATCAAATCCCATGAGCTAAATGCAGAGCAGGTGAGAGGGAGTGATGTTAGCCTTACTTAACCCTCGCAGGCATTGGACCTGTACACCTTTGCTATTGTGCAGTGCTGTGACATGACATTTATGGTGGTGTTTATGGCCGTTGATGTTTAACCAGGGGCTGCTGGTATGCAGCCAGGCTCCCAGCAATCGCAGACCGGGGAGGCGGACTGCAGAGCAGAACAAAAACCCGTCTATGTCCTTTACAATGGACCCGTGTTTGATGTCAGTGGGGAGCCGTAAAGTCTTTGTTTCTTTGTTCTCGACCGTGCAGGTTGGCTCCTGACATCTCTCTCTCTGCTTGGAGACTTGGGCTAGGCCTGGGGGTGGCGGCAGTACCAGGGGATCCCACCTGAACAGCACCCATCTCTTTGTGAGACAACACCACTGCCGTGGGGCTGGGCTTGGAGAGAGCCACAGCTCTCGGGGTAGGGGATTCACACTTCGGTTGCTCCAGAGAACACCTTGCCAGCAACTCATGGGAGTCAGGGTCTTATCTTTCCAATCACCCCCCTGCCAGCACTGGGGAAGCTGCACGGTCCATGCCCAGTGGGTGAGTGAGAGAAGCAAAGAGAGACAGAGAGGAGCGGATCAGGGAGAGCCGGGTCTCGACTCTCAGGGTCTGCGATGGATAGAGGGGTGTTTGTTAGCTCTCCTAGGGGAGATGGGAGCCTGCTGGGAACCAGCTCGGTCCCCCTCGGGCCTGACTGCAAGGATGTGCATCCAGGGTGAATTTGGGGCCCTTCCATCTCATGTTTCTGTGCATTATCCCCGAGATAAGGAGCAGGCAAGGGCAATACATCCTCAGAACGGGATTTGGGCTCTGTGACTGGTGAAGGGCCTGATCCTGTGAGCGCCTTCTTCTCTCAGCAAGTCCTCGGTCAGCAGTTTAATGCCTGACCGTCTTGCTGAGACTTGCTGTCCAGCTCCAAGGCTTCATGTGGCCCTGATGGGGAGCAGGCACCGGGATTGTGTGTGAAACGAGGAAGCTGCGGGGAGAACTTTCCCTGCGGTCACTGCTGAGCTGGTTTGACATCTTTGTCCTTTCTCTTCAAATAAAAGGGGCAGGGGTGAGTGGCTGAAGACGGGTGAGGTTAAAGGGGGAGATATTAGAGGGTACAAAACAACACCATGCAGCGACCAAGCCCCAAATATATGCAGGGTTGCCCAGCACGGCCTGGCCTAGCTATGTCCAGCTATGCAGGACAAACTTCTTCACTATCAGAGCAGGGAGGCAGGGGGCTAGACACAAGGGAAGGGGTGGAGTCTGCATCACTGGGGGTCCAGGGAGAGGGTGGGCAGCCCCTGGTTGGGGCTGATCTAGCTGTAGCAATGCCTGTGTGCTACTAGCAGGATTTCTTCTGGGAAAACCCCTTTTTCTGTAGTATGCATCAGGATGCTTTTAAGCCTTGCTCAGAGGTGCTGGGTGCTGTCTGCAGCCCAGGCTGTGCCAGCGCTCCTGCTGGGACTTAAAGCTGGAGGGTCCTGGCTAGAGGGTCTTGCCCCTCTGCTCAGGGTCAGACTGATGCTGGATTTGGGGATCAGGAAGGGATTTTTCTCCCAGATCAACTTGTTATGGACCAGGGGTGGGGGTTTGCCTTCCTCTGTAGCAGGAGGTGTAGCCTGGTACCTGGGGCCTCTCAAGCATATATTAACAACCTTTTATAGAAGCAGGATGTTGGCTGCCTGCTTTACCTGTGATGCCTGGCGCTGTCTCAGGGGTGATTTGTGTGATTTTGCTCCGAGGTTGGATAATGGGTTTGTCTGGGCTGGTTTGGACAGGGCTGATCCTGCCTCAGGCAGGGGGTTGGACTAGACGTGACCTCGGCAGGCCCCTTCCAGCCCTGCTTCTCTGTGACTTTATGAGTTTGTGTTGTCTGCTGAGCTGGGCACCCCCCGACTTGCTGGACACCCCCCCACATCAGGCGCCAGGCTGGTTCCTGGCACTTTGTATGGGGCCAGCCGCACAAGGGGGTGCAGAGCTGTAGACGGGATCCTGCTCAATGATCAAGACGTCTGGGCAGCAGCCGGGCCAGCTCACGCCTCTGTCTATCCGCAGGACCGGACTGACACAGCAACAACAGCACACGCTCCTCCCACCCTGCCTGCCTGTGCCCGTAGGGTGGAGAGGCATAACCCAGTATCAGGGCAGGCCAGACTTCAGAGTCTCTGCCAGCAACCGGCCCCAGAGGCCCACCCTGGGACTTCTGAGCTCCCTGGCATGACCGGGGGTCTCCCTGTGCCTCTTGAATGGGGTTGATGAGACCCTTTACCTAGAAGCCCAGGCACCTCAGCTGGAAGCTATGTGAGCACAAGGTATTTATTCCTGCTTCCCAGCCCTATACCTGTTTCCCTGGTGGGGAAGGGAGGTCTGCACCCTGCCCACCCCTTCCCGGAGTAGAGCGGAGCTGCCCGGCTCTGTCCAGCATTGTACCGTGATACCCTGTGTGCACCGGCCAGCCTTGGAGATCAGCTGTTGGGGGGGACAGGGGCTGTGGCAAGAGCTTGCTCAGCCACAACCTAGGGAAGGAAATGGCATCTCTGGGCTGCTCTTGAGTAACTGCAGTGGCTGAGTGTCCCCAGCGTGGGTCCTAGAGGGGAAGGGTGACTCAGAGGGGAACTACGAGGAAAACCTCAGTGGAGGACCCCACCCCTGGGGCAATCACCGGAGGTTTTGGTCAGGGCTCAGTGGGTGAGCACGGAGCGTGGAAATCCTGAGCGCCCCTGGACAGCTCAGCCCTGCCGGCTCCCACCAAAGACACGGCTCGGTGCAGTTTGGCAGCTGGGCGTGGGCATGAAGGATCCAGGGTGGGGGTGACCTTCCCCAGGGCTGGTGGGTCCAAGTAGGCTGAGACCCTGCTGGCTGAGTGCTCCCTGCCCCGTCCCCTCCACAGCCCAGTGCAGACGAGGCTCCCATCAGGGTTTTTCCATTAACATCTTGCATCCTGCTCTCTGCACAGGGGTGGTGGGGTCCCTTCTTCAACTTCAACACCCCCTGGCAGCCACAGAGGAAGAGAGGAGGACTCCTAAACAGGTTCTCCATAGTAGCAGTGGTCCCAGTCTCTCTGCTCTGATGGGCGTCCTGGGCGCCAGCGTGCCTGTGCCTTGTGTTTAGCCAGCCTTACCCGCTAGGATCTGCGTGGGGGAAGGGGACATCCCATTCAGAGGGAGCATGACAACAGCCTTCAAATACTTGAAGGGCTGCCACAAAGAAGAGGGAGACACCTTTTCTTTCTTGATGCAGCGAGGAGCACGTGGAGCAATAGCTTGAAGTTGCAGCAAAGTAAGTTTAGTTCGGATCTCAGCAAAAATGTCTTCTCCCCTCCCTTTTACTCCAGCAGACATTTTTCTGGGGATGTGCCAGGACATGGAGACCGGGAACGTGACAGAGCCCTGGTACCGGAGCCTGCATGCGGTGCTGAAAGCCCTGAATCAAACGCTGCACGGAGCCCTCCTGTGCTCAGCGGAGCAGACCCCGGAGAGGAAGAACAGCAGCCGGGCCCAGCTGGCCCACAAGGATGACAACTCCTACATGTACATCTTGTTCGTCATGATCCTCTTTGCCGCGACGGTGGGGAGCCTGATCCTGGGCTACACCCGGTCCCGGAAGGTGGACAAGCGGAGCGACCCCTACCACGTGTATATCAAGAACAGGGTATCCATGATCTAGGCACAGAAGGGCTGGTACAAGGTTGTGCCATGCCACTGCCACCTGCCCCCTTTTCTTGCTTTCCGGCATCGACACAGCTGTGGTTGCAAGGAGGGTCCAGACACACACACAATATCGGGGAGCCCAGGGAGAGCCAGGGCCTATGGTCACCCGAATAGCCATGTTTAGGCTGGTGAATCTAGTCATAAGTGTGTACCCCAGAAACGTGCGCAGCCCTGCAGCCCTTGCAAAGTACTGTGGGAGACCTGTGGGACCTGAGCTCTCAGCTACTGCAGAGGTGGATGCCTTATAATAACCCAGTTAAATGGGTTCAGAAATGAAGAGCATGGGGCTCACAACCAGACACTGGCAGGGGCGTCTGGCTGGGGAGGAAGCCAAGTACCTGCCTCTTTGGGGCTCAGCCCAAGAGCCCTGAGGCTGGCTGGTTTCCCTTGCAGGTTGGTGGATAATGCAGAAGCCCCTGGCAGGGGATCTGCATGGGCAGAAATGTCTCACTGTGATGGAGGAAAACGTGGGTGTATGAGAGCGGGGACACATTCACTGCCTGGTTGGCTATCACACGCCAGCCCTCTGACAGCTGCTTGATGCTGAGTTGGGTCCCGTTCCAAGTGGACACATCCCCAGGGGATTTGGTATCAACTCTCCCCTGGGTGGCTGGGAGGTTGGTACATGATCGGTCCCCAGCGCCTGACTGATCCTCTCCCCCCGGGGGTCCCTCGGGCTGAGGGCTAGAGCACATTAGTGGCTCAGTGTCGAGAAGCTTGCATCACCTCTGGCCATGAACCCTGTTGTGGGGATAGTGGGGCACGACATCCCCCATTGCCTCTCAGCCTGGGATCTTTCCCCAGCCTTGTGGCCCAGTCTGTGTGCAGTTATTTGCAGGGGGGTCACTGTTAGGGGACTGATTCTCAAGTATCCCTACCTGTGTGTGTGTATGGAGACTTGGACCAGTACAGCATCCTCTGTGGGATAGCCGGACCATGGGCAGAAGCACCTTTGTACCAGCAGAGCCTTTTCCATACTCAGGTTGTCTCCTGTGGGCTGGGGCAGATATGACGGTACCATTAATATACACAGCAAAGGACATTTCGAGCTTCAAAAGGAGAAACCCCCCTGTGACAGGCTCAGGCAACCTGATGCCCTGTAGCGGTCAGACCTGCCTGCCAATGCTCCCTAGCCTCCCTTGACCTCTTGTCTCTCGCCTGCCATGACTTGATCTTAAGGTCTTTTAAGTGGAGCGCTGCCTCCAGAAGCTGGGGTAGCCTCTTGGGTGCCTTTCCTTTAAATAGAGTCCTTAAGGCTCCTTTGCCCCAAGCTCTATGGGGTGGGTTTCCCCTTTAAGACAACCCCAGTTATGCCTTAGGGGCAATAATCATGAACTCCAGCTGCCTCTTATAGTCGCACCCATGCCTTACAGATGTCAGTCAGCGTTTGGGGGTGGGGGGCCCTGGCCCTGACTCTGCACTTGGCCCCTCAAACGTCTAACTTTTGTTGGGGCTTCTGCCTTCCTGGCTTCTCTAGCTGGTCCCCCTAGTCCAAGGTCCAGTGTCCCAGACCTCAGCTTCTGGGTCCCCGCCCTGTCTCTCCCTCTTGGCTTTGGGCCCCTGGACTCGTGTGACAGTCCTTAGGGTCCCTAACACTCGCTGGGCAGCTTGCACGCTGCTCTTCCCCTGGGGTCTGTGGCCCTCTCTGGATGACTGTACTGGGTGCTTCTCAGGCACCTCTGTGGCCTCTTTTTTACCCCTATTAGCATCCGATCCTCTGGTCTGGAACTAAGTATAATAAACATAAGCAAACTGCTTCCACAAAACTTCTCCCCCACTCTGGGTCAATGCCCCGTTGCAAGATATGCTTCCCTCTCAGCTGTCTCAGTCTAACTCTTGCTCTCGTGGGTAGCTTGAGTGTCCACGGGCCTGTTTCCTGCAGCCAGCTTTCCTGGGGAGTGCTTCTCCCTGCAGCATCCAAGGCTAGACAGGGGCTCATGGGCCTTTCTGGTGCTTAAAATGGGTGTATTTATAGACTTTCCAAGGGGGTCCCTCCCCCCACCATTTTTCAAATGGAATTAAATCAAGTACCACATGCATGGGTTGTCGCAGGACAGTGCGTCCAAATGGCATCATATAATTGTTGGAAATGTATTGTTCACAGTGGCCGTATGGGGGGCAGAGGTCTCCGGGAAGGAACAGCATCTTGCAGTAGAGAAAAGGGGTTGGCTGTGTGTCCCCCGTTGGCACAAGACAGGCTCATGGGTGAAGAAGGCATTCAGGGGGGACTGGACAGGGGGAAGGGCTGTGTGCTGGGTACTGTGGTGAGACAAGGGGTCGTTAGGCTTTTCTCCTAGTGGCAGCAGAGTGCCCAGATGGGGGTGGAGGCGGGGATCTCCACTTGGGAAGGGGCATGCATTGGTGAGGGACGGTGGGGTGGGGCTTGCAACCTAGTGGTCTCCCACGGAGGGAGCTGTGTATGAGCAGCAGGTGGGGAGCAGCTGCTCCATCAGACAAGTGTGTGCCCCGTCTTCCTCTCCAGCCCTCCGTCTTCTCTTGACCCCAAAGACTTCTCCTCTGCAGCCCCCACCAGCTGGAACAGCCTCCCCCCATGACCTTGTCTTCCTCGTTGACTCGATGTGCTTCAGAGGACAGCGGCAATGTCAGCCTCAACTGGACCTTGCCAACCACCCTGGCGCAGTAGCCCCCAAGCAAGGGGCAGAGGAGCAAAGCTAGAGGTAAACCCCATTCTCAAAGGCATGCAGCAGGTCCTTTCCCCCTGCATGCTGAGAGGTGCATCACAGCTCCTAATCATGTCTGGACAGTGAGGGTCAGCTCCTGCACAGGCACGTATCTGATTCATTTTATCCAAAGTCAGCCAAGGGAGATCCTGGCACATGCCCACCTCTGGCACAGCAGCCTGCCGAGGTTCTGGCTGCTCTTCTCCTTGCACCTTTTTGTTCATGCCCTCCTCACCTGGGGCCTCACCAAGTCTCAGGACCTCCTGGCCAACCTCCTCCTGGCCCGAGCTAAGCTGGCCATCCACTTGACCAGGGAGGAGGCTCAGGTTGTGGGGGCCCTGCTGACTTGAGACCATCTTCCAGTCCTTCATCTGTTCATGGCTCTGGGCAGAGTTTCACTGGACGGTGCCCACAGGCTCCTTGGGCTCGTGAGAGCCAGTGGGTGCTGGCTAGCGTGCTCTGCTCAGTGTCCCCCCTTGGAGCACTTGTTATTAACCTTCGACCTGCGCTCCCATCCCTGTTTCACTGATTGCTGCAAGTATTCAGTTGTTGCACACTTCATAGCACCTTCTAACAGCAAAGGGAGCTAGCAGTTTCTGTGTGGATCCAGGCCCACGGTCCCCTGTATGTGACAAATAGGCCTGTTTGGACCGCTAGGCATTGCTGTGCCCCTGCTCAGGGCTGTGTCGAAAAGTCATAATATCCCAGCCATGCTCCACTGTATAGTGTATTCATAGAGTCCTAGAGAAGTGGGGCTGGAAGGGACCTCCAAAAGTCATCTCGTGCAACCCCCTGCCTGAGGCAGGATCTTCCCTATCCAACCATCCCAGACAAATCCATAATCTAAACTCTTCATAAAACTACTGTCAACCCTGACACAAGACAAGACATAGCTCCCAAACCTGCCACAGGTAAAGCAGGGGGACCATGGTGGCCAATGTCCTGCTTCAATAAAAGGTTGTTAATATAGGCTCAAGAGATCCCAGGTATGGGCCATGCCTCCTCTTACAGAGGGATATCTCCCCCCCAAGTTTATACCAGTCCAACCATGGGGGAAAATTTCCTGACACCAAATGTAGCATTGGTTTGACCCTGAGTGAAGGGGAAGACCCTCTAGCCGGGTACCTCTGGCTTTAAGTCCCAGCAGGAGCATTCATGGAGACGCATTCAGGAGACAGCCGAGAGGTTTACCCTGCCAAGGTGCTCTGCTTCCCCGTTCAGCCGTTCATTTCCACTCGGATGGACTTTATGTGCACGTAGCCACGTTGAACAGGCACATTGCATGCCTGGGCTGATATCAGGGCTGACATGGATCCTGGAGGAACGGAGTTGCTACAGCATCCACAGGACATGGCAGTGGAGCCGCCACGGGACACTGGGCAAGGGTTTTGCCATCCGCGGTCCAAACACTCGCGGCCCTTGCAGTGGGAGCATGGCAGCCTGGGCTCCATACGTGACAGATGATAGGCAAGAAAGGTGCTCCTGCCCTGTGCCGCCGCATGCAGAGGGGCCTGAGGCACACAGGCGATGCTCTGGTAGGGGCTTATTCCCACGCTGTGATCTCAGAAGACAAGCCTCTATGAGCTTGGGGCCTCGGAGGCAGATAGATTGTGGTTCTGGTTGTTCAAAGTCTGGTTGTTCAAAGTCTTCAGCATAGGAAAGGGCATTAGAGCCACTGAGATAATCAGACACCCCTGGATCCGTCTCTCACAGCCCCTTGAACCTCCCTGACTCCATCTGGTTCATGCAGGCTTCCCCATTGGGGAGAAGTGTCATGCATGGAGATACAGCTGCACCGAGGGAGGACTTCTTCTGTGGTGAGCCTCTGCCATGGCATGCCTTGGGGACCCAGGGCTGCTTCTCTTGGGTTCTTTTAGGAGTTGCCAAGGTGTGGCCAGCCTGGCCCACTAAACTCTTGTGTTTCTTCAGGGGATAGCCAGCTGGCTCGTTTCCTCCTGCTTCTTTGTGGGAGTCCACCTGTAGCCTCCAACGCATCCATGCAGCTCTCCGGGGAGCGTCGGCAGCCTGCTCACCCCTTGGAAATCGCTACCAGGTTCAACCCTGTGTTCAGGCCCATTGTTCTGCGGAGCTGAGATCCTCCACTACTCCCCTTTACAGCCCCTAGCTCTGAATGGGGGGTGGTTTCCCGTTATCCTCTCGCCACTCCTGGCTCTTCAGTTCTTAATAGAGGCTAGGTCCGAGGCTCCTTCCCGGGGGCAGATGGATGGCTTCCAGTCCCAGAGCTGGGACACTGTTCAGAGAGCCAACACAGAGCACCAAGCTCTCCTGGGAGCCAGCCCACCCATGAGGATCTCAGCTTTGTTCACGATGACACAAGATAAGACATAGCTCCCAAACCTGCCACAGGTAAAGCAGGGGGACCATGGTGGCCAATGTCCTGCTTCAATAAAAGGTTGTTAATATAGGCTCAAGAGATCCCAGGTATGGGCCATGCCTCCTCTTACAGAGGGATATCTCCCCCCCAAGTTTATACCAGTCCAACCATGGGGGAAAATTTCCTGACACCAAATGTGACATTGGTTTGACCCTGAGTGAAGGGGAAGACCCTCTAGCCGGGTACCTCTGGCTTTAAGTCCCAGCAGGAGCATTCATGGAGACGCATTCAGGAGACAGCCGAGAGGTTTACCCTGCCAAGGTGCTCTGCTTCCCCGTTCAGCCGTTCATTTCCACTCGGATGGACTTTATGTGCACGTAGCCACGTTGAACAGGCACATTGCATGCCTGGGCTGATATCAGGGCTGACATGGATCCTGGAGGAACGGAGTTGCTACAGCATCCAAAGGACATGGCAGTGGAGCCGCCACGGGACACTGGGCAAGGGTTTTGCCATCCGCGGTCCAAACACTCGCGGCCCTTGCAGTGGGAGCATGGCAGCCTGGGCTCCATACGTGACAGATGATAGGCAAGAAAGGTGCTCCTGCCCTGTGCCGCCGCATGCAGAGGGGCCTGAGGCACACAGGCGATGCTCTGGTAGGGGCTTATTCCCACGCTGTGATCTCAGAAGACAAGCCTCTATGAGCTTGGGGCCTCGGAGGCAGATAGATTGTGGTTCTGGTTGTTCAAAGTCTGGTTGTTCAAAGTCTTCAGCATAGGAAAGGGCATTAGAGCCACTGAGATAATCAGACACCCCTGGATCCGTCTCTCACAGCCCCTTGAACCTCCCTGACTCCATCTGGTTCATGCAGGCTTCCCCATTGGGGAGAAGTGTCATGCATGGAGATACAGCTGCACCGAGGGAGGACTTCTTCTGTGGTGAGCCTCTGCCATGGCATGCCTTGGGGACCCAGGGCTGCTTCTCTTGGGTTCTTTTAGGAGTTGCCAAGGTGTGGCCAGCCTGGCCCACTAAACTCTTGTGTTTCTTCAGGGGATAGCCAGCTGGCTCGTTTCCTCCTGCTTCTTTGTGGGAGTCCACCTGTAGCCTCCAACGCATCCATGCAGCTCTCCGGGGAGCGTCGGCAGCCTGCTCACCCCTTGGAAATCGCTACCAGGTTCAACCCTGTGTTCAGGCCCATTGTTCTGCGGAGCTGAGATCCTCCACTACTCCCCTTTACAGCCCCTAGCTCTGAATGGGGGGTGGTTTCCCGTTATCCTCTCGCCACTCCTGGCTCTTCAGTTCTTAATAGAGGCTAGGTCCGAGGCTCCTTCCCGGGGGCAGATGGATGGCTTCCAGTCCCAGAGCTGGGACACTGTTCAGAGAGCCAACACAGAGCACCAAGCTCTCCTGGGAGCCAGCCCACCCATGAGGATCTCAGCTTTGTTCACGATGGACATGCTTCGTCATCCCAGCGGGCACAGCGCTGGAGTCTGGATCCTTGTTCAGGGAGCAGAGATGGTGCCAAGACCATCCCGGTGCAATACTCAGGCTGCAACGCTCTTTCCTCTTGGGCAGCCCTGGCACTTTACAGCCGGTTTTGACTCTTGTCTGACCCTCACGGGCTGCAACAGGATTTGGTATTTTATTGCCATTTATTCAAGGGATTTAAAAGCACTGTAGCTTCATTTGCATGGACGGTGCAGTGTGGATGTATAGCAGCAAGCATGTTTGGGACTGTAGAAACTGCCACCCCAACCAAATCAGTAGCTTACCTCTCACAGGGGCTAGTGAGGCTGTGATGGAAGGTGTAAACCACCCACTTTGCCCACAAAAGTCTATTTGGTTTAACATCCCCAAGGAGGAAGAGTCTTCCAAGCAGCAGACAACTCTCCGTGAGCTAATCAGCTTCTGAGATGCCCATTTCTCCCCCCTGCCATTCAAACTGCTGGACTCACTGAACAAAATTCATCCCAGAATAAGCCCATTGAAAGATGGATGCCTACCAGGCCTGCAGTCGGCCTCCTGGCATCACATGCTACATGCAAACACAAGGCCATGTGTGTGCCTGGCCTACCTGT